AAAAGAGCTTACGGTGTTATTTTCCAGAACTTCTGTGTTTTCTACAAGAATCTGAGGAAGAGGATGTCTTTTCAAAGAGCTTGTGATTCAGGTGATAAGATCCTAAAATACCACCTACCACACATCAAATTATATGAAGCATGAAGACAATCCAGGTCTTTGGGGTGAGGGGGTTAGCATTTTGTAACGTGAACTCACAAAGAGCACAAAATCTGTTCTCACTGCTGAAGTCGATACCTCAGCAAAACGGATTTACACGAACAAGCGTCCGGGAGTTAATGTTAGCTGCTGTGTTGTATTTTCACCCAAATATATGTTTGAGTCCCCAAAGCTCACTAAGTCCGACTGGTTATGGAATCAGAGTTATTGGAGATGAAATCTGACAGGATTGATGAGCTAACAGCTAGTCCAAGCAGAGCTAAAACTGACATGAAAGGCTACTGCTTTAAACCTTTCCAATCTCATAAAGTTTAGACTGTTCTATGTAATGAATCTGTGGCGAAACGTCCATCTGAAGTGCTGCAGCTGCTATTAGCGCTCGCTAGCAAGCATCAACATTTGTGCACATAACTGTGTGATAATAAAGTAAAGCCTCAGCCTTCATTAGTGTCTAGAGGAGAGATTCTTCACTAAATTAGACAAATTAGCTGTAATCATGATCTAAAACATGCAGGAAGCATGTTGGAACCGGGTATGTCAGCTCCATGTTTCCAACAGAGCAGCCTGCCAGTCTGAAGTTGCAAGTGGAATATTCTGGCCACAGGGGCGACGGGGGCTGGGTGGCATTTCGTTAACCCATTAAAGGGTAATTTTAAGACACACTGGCTCAAGAAAATCATTTAAAATTATGAAAGTTGCAAAGTATCCTTTAAATGCCAGTGTGATAGTTTATAAAACAACAATGCATGAAATGTATTTATCTTCATAGGATGACTGAAAGTCTTTAGGGCTTATTCTACCAAGAGACCCCCAGGTAGACCCACCACCCATGGGTTCTGGTCTGGAGGTGCCTTGAGCTCCCACAGAAAGCGCTAGAAGGATTTCCAGGCTCCCCTTCTGGACATAGCGCCTGCACAACCTTGAAAGGAAATTTGGAAATGAGGTGAAACTTTGGTCAGACGTCTTTGTTATTCCTCCCAGCGGCCATAATCTGATCATTTATCAATAACAGATACTGATGGTTCAAAAGTCTTTCGACACAAATGTTGTTTGATTGGGGTGACGGTGGCACAGGAGTTAAGAGCTCGCCCCGTAATCGGAAGGTTGCAGGTTTGAGCCCCATTCAGTTTGTCGCTGTCGTTGTGTCCTTGGGCAAGACACTTAACTCCACCTCACCTGCTGGTGGTGGTCGGAGGGACCGGTGGCGCCAGTGCTCAGCAGCCTCACCTCTGTCAGTGCGCCCCAGGGCAGCTGTGACTACACCCCCACCAGGGTGTGAATGGGTGAATAACATTGTGTTGTAAAGCACCTTGGGGGGTTCCAGGACTCTAGAAGGCGCTATATCAGTTACAGGTCATTCACCATTTATTTGCAAAAACAGAACACCAAAGTGAATTTGTGCACGTTCGTGTCTCCGCTCATTGGTCACATACGAGACGGACAGACACTGATGTTTCCATCCATTTGGGCATAAATATGAAGACAGCCTATGCACGCGTCTGCTCGTCCTTCTAACTTGCATCAAGCAGCAGAGTGTATGATTTAGTTAGTAATTAGGGAAAAGAGACGTATCCAATTACTGGGGTTGTGAAATATCATCCTGTCTCAGTGGTTATTCCACCGTCTGCAACCTGTCCTATTATGATTATTGTACCAGCTGTGGATTACAGGTGGGACAGCACCACAACGGAATGGGACGCAGCCAAAGCCTTTACTGGTGGTCCCATGACACAATGTGTGTGGGGCAACCAGTGCAGCGCAAAAAAACCATTCTTATTTATTACCTAGTGTGTTTCTCTCACTCTGAGCTGGAGTTAGAGTACACGCGTACACACAAAGAGCAACATGCATCATAAATGAATTACAGCGCCCTGCTTGCAGTTTCACTGCTGTAAAAGGCAATCAATCAGATTCCTGCACTCTTGTGCTCACCGTCCAGGTGTGAACACATAGGAGGATGCATGACTGAGGTGTGTGTTTGATCATTTGGAGTGTGTTTTGGTTGGTGTGTGAATGTAATTGTTTCTGGCTTAGCAGGAAAAGGTGACGGCTCTGTGTCAGCTACACCTTAGCATAAAACAATTTAAGTGACTGGTACCAGCTAGCACTGTGAGTGAAAAGTCGTTAAAATGACTCAACAGTGGTTCTAATTCTGCTTGGAGACCTCAGCAATGATATTGACTGCAAGTGAAAATAAACACAGATGCATAGGTTGTTAGCAAACTGTGAAAACCCTGTTTATAGAAGCAGGTGTCTTTGGGCGTTGTGTCCTTGCACCTTACAGCTGTGCTTTGTCATAAAGTAGTCCCAAATCTAAAATTTCACCTGTGATTCCTTTGAGTTATTGAGATTATTGAGGTCATCAAGCAGAATTAAAAGCACTACGGAGTCATTTTAAAGACTTTTTCACACACAATGCTAGCTGGAACCATTCTGTCTCGTTGAGGAGCAGGAGGTTTGAACCCAAGATGCAGAACCACCGAATGACTGGAAGCAGGAGCAGAGGTTAAATAAAATCCTTTTATTTAGGATGTAACTCAAAAAACTCAAAAATCGCAGGACTCTAAGGCCCTGTCCACACGTAGCCGGGGATCTGCCAAAACGTAGATATTTTTCTACGTTTTGGCCTGCCGTCCACATGAAAACAGATCTTTCTAAAAACTCCGGCCAAAGTGAAGATCTGCGTTTTCTCTGTTTTGGGTGTCTGCGTGTGGACGGACAAAACCGGAGTTTTAAGGTCCGCAACGTCACTTTCCGCCACAGAAAACTGCTGACATCACGTGTGCGACCTGTGTTTACACTAGCCGACAGCATGGATGCCCTCAGAGCTGCGCTCGCTTTATCAATCGTCCAAGCGCTTTCTGCTTGTTTGTGTTTGCAAGCGGAATTACTGCTGCTTGCAGAAGACCACAGACGAAGGACGAGGTTAAGAACGGGGGAAGTGGCGCCACCTACAGGTCTGGCATGTCCTTAACAACGTATTTATCCGGGTACGTGTGGACTAGACCTAAGCCTGAAACTAAAACTCAGAGAAAACAAAAACGAAGCTCACCAGGAGCAAGAAATTAGAGAGTCTCGAGAGGAGGGACAAAACAACGCTGACAAACAACAACGGACCAACAAACACTGAGGGACAAGACAGGGTCTTTAACACAGAGGGAAGCAATCAGGGGAACAGGTGACAGGTGTGAGGAATAAGGTCTGGAGGGAAGACAGGTGCCTTTAATAAACTAAATGGGGAAAGAACTTAAGCAGAGGGGAAGATAAACCATAACCTGAATAACTAACCCTAAAGACCAAGGGCAAAGATAAACAACTAATGACTGGAGGGGTGAGGAGGACTTGTACAAACCTATAGGGACCACACGGGAGTGACTAGGAGGAAACATGAGGGAAGCCTAGAGGGAGCTGGGGAACACAAGGTGACACATGAGGAGAACCTGGAGGGGCTGGGGACCAAGGGGACACATGAGGAGAACCTGGAGGGGCTGGAGAACACAAGGGGACACATGAGGAGAACCTGGAGGGGCTGGGGACCAAGGGGACACATGAGGAGAACCTGGAGGGGCTGGAGAACACAAGGGGACACATGAGGAGAACCTGGAGGGGCTGGGGACCAAGGGGACACATGAGGAGAACCTGGAGGGGCTGGGGACCAAGGGGACACATGAGGAGAACCTGGAGGGGCTGGGGACCAAGGGGACACAGAACATGACACATTCACTTACATAGTTTTATGCTAAGCTAAAGGTACTGCTGGATCAGGAGAATGACTGGGCTGGTTACAAATTGTTTTTCACCACTTATCTAACTATGGGGAACATATCAAAAGTCAATGTTTTATTTTAGAGTGGAATATTCCTTTGAGGGGGGAGAAAAGGGGGAGAAACTTCATGACAGCCCTTCGGATGCTGCAAGACGAAACAAAACAGAGGGAGAAACAAGGATTTTAGCTCTGTGAAAGAATGCATATCACCAACGATATGTTTGTGTCAGCGATTCATCTCTGTGTGATGAGAAATGATTGAGTTTTGCATCTTTCATCAGATCTGAGTCAGTTCAGTGGCCTAGTGGTAGGTTGTCAGCCCTGGGACAGGGAGATTGGAGTTCAAATTCCAGTCAGGTCGTTCCAAGACTTTATAATAATGGAACCCAGCCCTTAAACTCAGCTGCAAGGCGTTGGGTTGGGAGTTAAACCACCAAATAGTTCCTGAGCACAGCTGTGTGTGCAGCTCACCGCTCCCCATGGGGATGGAATGCAGAGGACAGTTTTCACACCACACCAGTGTGTGTGACCACTATGGGACTTTAATCTTTAATAGCAGGATTAGTTCTTTCCTCAAAAACGTGCTATGTTGAATGACAACTTCCCCTTTTAATAGTTGTATTATTTAATATTTAAATGACAAGTAAACTGTAAATATATGAAAAAAGACCGATCTCTTCAGAGGGAAGACAACCCAAGTGTGAAAGTGTTGGAGTGATGCAAGAGCGAGATGCATGCCTGGAAGCAAGTTTTTAATTCAGGCATTTTTTTTATCTTCATCACACACACACACACACACACACACACACACGCACGCACGCACACACACACACACACACCCCTGAGTGGGGTCTCAGCTGATCACATGGAGAATTCTACCCTCTGACAACAAAAACACGGCGCCACGGTAACAGCCGTCTCCGGCACCGACCGCCCCGGACGCACCGGGTTGGCCCGTCTGACTGATTGGCGTGCGCCTCGGCGGTTCCAGTTGGCCGCGGAGGAGACAGGCTCCGTTGGAGGCGGAGCTCTCCGTGGTACTTAAACGGAGCTGGTGCCGAGCAGGACAAGTTCGAGCTCGCACAGCTGCTCGGTGCGTGGGGCGACGTCTGCGCGAGAAGGAAGGGAGAAGAAGAGAAGAGAAAGGGAGCAGAGGACTGAGCTGCCCTCTGCATCACTCATGGAGGGTATCTGATCATTTCCCCTGGGAGCGCACAGGTCTGTGTTTGTGCGTAAAGGCGTGTCTTGCTGGCTTTTCTTCGTTCCAGAGCTTTTGTTTTTGTTTATTTCTGATCTCACACATTCCTTCAGATTTAATGATTAACAAGTGTGTGAGGGGAGAGGAGGGCAGAGGATCACTGTTGTTAAACTTGCTGCTCATCCATGTGTCTCTGTTTGGTTCGAGTGTTGTTTTCTGTACGCTGTGCCTGTTTGAGTGGTAATCCTGCTCCTGGTTTGGTTCCCAGACACCGCAGTCCATGCCTCTGCCCTGCCAGGTCATTGATGGGAAATCAACTGGATCGGATCACCCACCTCAACTACAGCGAGCTGCCCACGGGGGATCCGTCCGGGCTGGAGAAGGACGAGCTGCGGGTCGGAGTCGCCTACTTCTTCTCTGACGAAGAGGAGGAGGTGGACGACCGAACTCCGTCCGACTGCGGCTTCACCAAAGACCACAGCCCGACCGAGGAGGGACCCTTCTCGGTCAGCGAGGTGGAGTACTCGGCGTTCTGCTCCCAGGAATGCATCTTCTCCAAGCTGCGGGAAAACGAGGACCTGAACGTGTATTCGGCCAAAACGTTGCTGACTATGTGCAAACCGGGGGACCTGCTTGAGCTGGTGGGCACCGCGCAAGCGCCCCATTGGGTCATCTACGAGCACGAGGACCGGGTCATTCATCTGCACAAGGGCGAGATCCGCAAGGACAGCCTGCTGGAGATCAGCAGCGGACGGCGCGGGAGGATAGTCAACAATCGGTACCGATTTCGACCGCTTCCTCCAGACCTGGTGATGCAGAACGCAGCAGGACACCTGGGCCTGCGGAGCGAGGAGATATGCTGGACCAATTCGGAAAGTTTCGCCGCCTGGTGCCGCTTTGGGAAGCGGGAGTTTAAAGCCGGGGGAGAGGTGCACTCAGCCGAGCAGCAGTATTTTCTCAAAGTGCATCTGTCCGGCAGCGGCGTGCACACGCTGGTGTTTCGCAGCCTGGAGGACATGATCCGGGAGCGGCGGCGCGTGGACGCTAGTGGAATTCTGAAAGAGCTGTCTTTGGTTAGCGGGGGCAAGGACTGATCGGGGATTCCGTTTGATATCATCTCCTCCCCCTCCAACTTCCTCACTCATCCTTCTGCCTCCTTGTGCCACCGAGGCGCACGGGACGCATGGTTTTTGCGCAGCCACACACACACACACACACACACACACACACACACACACACACACACACACACACACACACACACACACACACACACACACACACACACGCGCACACACACACACACACACACACACACACACACACACACACACACACACACACACACAAAAGAAAATACATGCAAAAACGGGACATGCTGGTTTAGGACCCTGCTGATCTCGGATCAGAACCCAAGGGGTAGCCGAACCACAGAATCCTGGAATTGCAGAAACGGCCAACGCCCCGCCGGATGAGGATCTGATGCAGAGCGCGCGGGACTTCTCGTAAACCCATACGGCTCCGCAAAGTGAAATCACCTTTATAACACCTGTTTAACGGAGCCGGTTTGATTTATGTTTGTTTTTGTTGTTGTTTTTGTTGTTTTGACTGGAAGTGGCCCTTCTGTCTGCAGAGCTGCTGCAGCAGACCCAGACGATGAGACCAGGCGGGAGACAGAGAGGGGAGGAAGGATGGGTGTGTGGATGGAAGATTTTGGGATGACTCTTGGAAGTCTCCCTTCTATTTTTTTACTGTTAGCTTTAAAAAAACGGGACAGACCACAACACCGACCTGAACAAAGCCACCAAACCCTCAGAGTCTCAGCTGGCTACGCAGTTGCACATAAACAAAGACTGCGTCTTGGCTTAAGTGTCCGAGCTCCTCTTATTGCCACAGTGTTCTCCCCACAATGCTGTCGTGTGTGTGTGTGTGTGTGTGTGTGTGTGTGTGTGTGTGTGTGTGTGTGTGTGTGTGTGTGTGTGTGTGTGTGTGTGTGTGTGTGTGTGTGTAAAAACTGTTCTCATTCAGTGATTTCAATTCAAGTCCCTTATTTTTGTATTTGAGTTCAGTGGATTTGACACTTTTTTCTCTCTTTTGTTTCAAATAAATGGAGGTGGAATTATGAAAACAAGAACCTGATCTGTCACGGTCTTGTTAGACACATTTTACCATTTATTTCACACACACACACACACACACACACACACACACACACACACACACACACACACACACACACACACACACACACGTTTGAATTATTGATGTTCAACTGCCTCCTGTTCCGTCTCCAGACTCATCTCTGAAGTATTTGCACATGAAATGTTCATCAGCGCCAAACAAACAAAGCCTTTAAAATGAAATCAGTGTGTTAAAGTACAAGTTTGCATATTATTCCTTTAACATGCTGATCTGTGTGTGTTAACGCCTCAGATTAACTGTTTTACTGTGATCTTGATGAAATCTCACACCTGGACTGGTTGTTTTTATGAGGATCAGATGAAGATCTTCCTCTGCGATCAGCTCAGTTAGAACCGGATCAATCACTTCTTCAGATGTGCTTTCTTGTGCGATTTGTGGCATTTTGCAGATATCATCTCATTAGCACCTGGACCAAAACGACCACATGAAAACCATTTAGAGGAGGTGGTCTGGCTCCAGATAAGCTCCAAACAGCGTTTGTTTATGATGATCCAACTTCCAGGTGCTTGCTGCAGGTGTGCTCTGGTGTGCTTTGCATTCTGGGATGCAATCTAAACACAAAACTGGACGGTGCAGGCGTAACCTTCCTGTATGCATTCTGGTCCATAGTGACACTTTATTGCAGTTTTCTCTGACTGAGAAGAACCAAAACCACACGAAGAAGCTATAAAAGAAACCCATTTTTACCAAAATGAACAAACAATAAGCCTTTAGTGCTAATTCAAGTGTAGTGTCATGGTGGTCTCTCTCTGCAGACAGAAACAACGTGCGTTGAGAAGGTCTCCTCCAGTCGTTGACCTAATTGTATCGACACGTTCTTCTCGTTTCTTTCTCATTTGCATTCGTTTCCACGGGCTGGTGCTGCACCCTTATTGATGTCAGTTTCTTCTCGCAAAACCAGATTAGCAAGACAACAAAAGGAGCTGAATTTAAAAATAAATCAAAACAGGGACAAAATTGTTTATTGAAGTAGTCAAACTAAAATAGATTTGGTTCTTTTTGTTGCCAGATCCTGATGGACTCACTGCTGTTCGATCCCTTTGCCTTCCTTTGGTTTTTTTCCTCTGATGACGGTTGAGGCTGAGGTTGCCTCAGGTGGGCGGTGTGTGTGTGTGTGTGTGTGTGTGTGTGCGTGCCATATGCTGCCTGCATGTGTGTTAAATCTACATCTCCAGTTCCATCAGCAACAGCCTGAAATTCGACGCTGTTACTAGGGAAACTCCAGATTCTGGCATACTGTACATCCACTGAGGTGTGTGTGTGTGTGTGTGTGTGTGTGTGTGTGTGTGTGTGTGTGTGTGTGTGTGTGTGTGTGTGTGTGTGTGTGTGTGTGCATCCCGGCTCAGAGCTACTAGCTGTTCGTAATAGCTATTCATGTAAGACGCATGGCGACCAAGTGCAGCGGCTCACCAGGGACGGACTATTGTTCCTTTTGGCGTGGTTGCATTTCATTCACCCAGCGGTTTAGCTTCTCCGCGTGGACCCCAGCTAGCCTGCTGACAGCTGAGTCGTGGTCTCAGAGGAGAGAAGACTAGAGAATATCGTGTCTGCCTGATGCCTTTAAGAGGATCTCCCTCTAATCTAGATGCGAGCCCCGGAAGACTTGACGTTTTCCAGCTTGTGTTCTTAAAGATGGGTTTTACTCAACAACAACACAGCTGCTGTTGCAAATGGATTACATGCTGTTAAAGTGTTGGGAACGGTGGCCTCCTCTGAACATCTGTTGTGAATTGGTTCATGCATCACATGAAGCATTTGAACCTACACCTCTGTAACGACATTTGAGTCTGATTGCATGCTGCAACACTTTGGTAAATTGAACGGTACCGCTATTTTGGCCCAGCTATCAGCGCTTCTACAGCTTCATCACAGTAAGGGGTGGATTAAACCTGCAAACGATTTATGGATTTTATGTATTTGGTTCTCTCTGGGGCAGTTCCTAGGGAGTGGCAGACCGAGGTGGTGGTCCCCATCTTTAAGAAGGGTGACCTGAGGGTGTGTTCCAACTATAGGGGGATCACACCCCTCAGCCTCCCTGGAAAGGTCTACGCCAAGGTACTGGAGAGGAGGGTCCGATCGATAGTTGAATCTCAGATAGAGGAGGAGCAATGTGGTTTTCGTCCTGGCCGTGGAACTGTGGACCAGCTCTATACCCTTGCAAGGGTGATGGAGGGGGCATGGGAGTTTGCCCAACCAATCCACATGTGCTTTGTGGATTTGGAGAAGGCTTATGACCGTGTCCCCAGGGGCACCCTGTGGGGGACGCTCCAGGAGTATGGGGTGGGTGGCTTTCTGTTAAGGGCCATTCGGTCCCTTTACCAGAGGAGCGTGAGTTTGGTCCACATAGCCGGTAGTAAGTTGGACCTGTTCCAGGTGAGGGTTGGACTCCGCCAGGGCTGCCCTTTGTCACCGGTTCTGTTCATCACTTTTATGGACAGAATTTCTAGACGCAGCCGTGGTGTGGAGTGTGTCGAGTTTGGTGGCAGGAGAATCTCGTCTCTGCTTTTTGCGGATGATGTGGTCCTCCTAGCTTCATCCAGCTCTGACCTTCAGCTCTTGCTGGGTAGGTTCGCGGCAGAATGTGAAGCGGCTGGGATGAGGATCAGCACCTCCAAATCTGAGACCATGGTTCTCGACCGGAAAAGGGTGGCTTGCCACCTCCGGGTCGGGGGAGAGGTCCTACCTCAAGTGGAGGAGTTTAAGTATCTCGGGGTCTTGTTCACGAGTGAGGGTAGGAGGGATCGGGAGATCGACAGGCGGATCGGCTCGGCGTCTGCAGTGATGCGGACGCTGAGCCGATCTGTCGTGGGGAAGAGGGAGCTGAGCCAGAAAGCCAGGCTCTCGATTTACCGGTCGATCTACGTCCCAATCCTCACCTATGGTCATGAGCTTTGAGTAATGACCGAAAGAACGAGATCGCGGATACAAGCGGCCGAAATGAGTTTCCTCCGTAGGGTGGCCGGGCTCAGCCTTAGAGATAGGGTGAGGAGCTCGGACATTCGGGAGGGACTCGGAGTAGAACCGCTGCTCCTCCGGATCGAAAGGAGTCAGTTGAGGTGGTTTGGGCATCTGGTCAGGATGCCTCCTGGACGCCTCCCTGGGGAGGTGTTTCGGGCATGTCCTGCCGGCAGGAGGCCCCCGGGTCGACCCAGGACACGTTGGAGAGGTTACATCTCCAATCTGGTCCGGGAACACCTTGGGGTCCTGCCGGAGGAGCTGGTGGAGGTGGCCGGGGAGAGGACGGTCTGGAGCTCCCTAGTTGGGATGCTGCCCCCGCGACCCGGACCCGGATAAGCGGAGGAAGACGACGACGACGACGACGGTTCTCTCTGTGAGGGCTCTGCTCATAGAGTTTACATGAGTGGTGTTTAATTCTTGTTCTCAAGGTCCACAATCCTGCAGGTGTTCGATGCTTCTGCTCTCATTTGAATGATTGGGTGATTAACAGGAGCCTCGGGGATTGGAGGTTATTTATCCACTGAGTCAGGTGTGTTGGAGCAGGACAACAACCCAAACAAGCAGGACACTGAGGACCAGGGATGGGCAACACTGATTGATGTCCCTTAAGATTAACATGCTAATGGCTAGTCTAAGTGCAGCCAAGATCAAATGAGGTTGATATATCCCCCCCCCCCCCCCCCCCTCCAAAAAAAAAAGACTAAAAATGGAGCAATGCCTCCTTGCTTGACCCTCAGCTTTAAGGGGTTGGATTAGGGGCTTAAACTACCAAATAGTTCCCAAGCACAGCCACTGCTGCAGCTCACCGCTCCCCATGGAGATGGGTCGGATGCAGAGTTGAGTCTTACCTCTGTGTGATGACTAATGGGACTTTGACTTTAAGACTCCCTGAAACAGGAGCGCCAGAGCTTTTATTCCCCCACAAAGAAGGACTCACAAGGCATTCATTTATACTAGAGACCATTGCAGATGTATTGAAATACTGAGAGAATGAGAGGTTTAAGCAGGATTTTATAGATTTTAAAACAACTTCAGATTGGAAAAAATAGAAAGGAACACTATTCTTTATCATTTATAGATAAATTGGTTATAAAATGATCCTTATGAACATTTTTTAACTTAATTAGCTTACTAAAACTCTGTCTTGTTTATAATAATGTTTATGAATACACAGATGCAGCTTGAGAGGTCGCTGCGTGACTGAAAATCAAAAGGACTCCACTAAGAAGAAGGAGGACAGTCATTTCCATAATCTGAAAGCTGATTGAAAATGTCCGTTAGCGGGGAATGTGAAAGTCATGTGAAGGCCGGGAAAAGTTTAAGAGAGAAGGACTAGTGGCATCACGAGAGAGCCTGCTGTAGGACTGCACACCTCTGCTGGAGGGTTTGGTGGGCTCTGCAGATGTTGCTGCCAGCAGAAGGTTAGACTGCTAAGGTTCAGTCACAAGTAACTCCAAGGGGTTGCAGCTCTGCTGATTTAAGATGTTTTTGTACATCCAAGACTAGAAGAATAACTCAAATAGAACGTGCGTAGTGGGTTAACATACAGAAAAATACACTGGGAAGCGTGGACAGGCCCTGATTCTTAGAGATTTGTGTTCTGAAGCACGAACATGCAAACAGGCGTGGATATTATGACCAAAGTTCAATCTTTGACTTAGCCGCACCTTTTTTAACCTGTGCAGCTGGTTCTCCAACTGAATACAAATAAATCCGTTAAAGTCGGTTTGCTTTAGTCAAATTAAGTGTTGCAGGTGAGAAGAAATGAATGAGGTGATGTTCAAAACAAAGGAAAAAAACGTCCAACGGAGAGTTAAAAAATGTGTTACAACCTTTTCCACATCA